GTAAAGATAGTCAAGTCTCTTTAATGAGTTGTAGTTTGGTGTTGAGAACAGCAAGACTCAATGATGACGCCGGCTAATTGTTCTAAAATGTGGCAAGGCCATGGTCTGATGCTGGAAATTATGCTAACTACTATGGCAGAGGACTTCGGACAAGGTGTGTCCAACTAAGTCATCCTGACAACACGACCAAGTTGCGCAAACGAGGTCAACCCACTGCAACTCACGTAATGTCTCGTTAAGATCACAAAGTTAGGTTTAAGGAGAATTTAGAATATCAGATGGGTTTGTATTTCTTATTAATTGTTATAAATAATGGTTTATGGCTCTAACGTTGTTTGTCACATGACGAGCGAAAGCTCGGCACATAGTCATCTGGGTCGCAGGACGTTTAGGCGAGGTCTTTTTCGCACAATTCAACAATCACAAGTCAAAGGGAACTTTCCTTCGGTATCTGGTAGAGCCTATTTACGAATCCCTTCTACCCGCCTTCTTAAACGAAAAAAAGGTATGCTAGTATGCTACCACTACGCCACACTGCCATAAGTGCTAATGGATCGCACACAGTTCTTATTCAAGATCTAGTGGTATTCTCGAGAACCTACTTATAAACAAAAATAAGTAGTGTAATCGATTGTTATAGCAAATATATTTTTTCTTCATCTGCAATCCCACCAAAGAATGTGATATGTGAAAATGTCTGGCCTTCGTTGAAATTCACATCTGCCCTGTGGCCCAAGGGCACTCGGGGCAATGTTGCGTAGTGGCTAATGTGTCGAGATTACACGCTGCACCGTCATTTTTCGAGGCCCGCTGTGGGTGTTAATAAAACCTAGGCGAGGTCGAAACTGAAGTCCACTTTAGCCTGATTGAGAATACCTTTTGGGAAGCAAGGCTATGCGAAATTCAATGGAAATGTAAAGTCTACTCATATGATTGTGGAAAAATTCAACTATCAGTCATCGACGATTTTAACTGAAACAGTGTAACTAGATATTTGGAACTATCTGTGAATCTTGAATAACAGTTCTAGTCAGCTGGGCTCGCATAAGGTAATGATAGTTTCGAAATCCTACTTTATATTAAAAAAGATAGGATTAGAGGGCGTATTGCATACCTTCTCTATTAGCTCCATCAGTTCCTCCGATTGCTGGTTTCCGGCAAGGATAACATCTCGGCTTGTATCGTGCATGTTCAGATCGTTTAGGAAAAGACCCTCATCGTACAGTTGATTGGCATCGCGTAATCTACAGAAAATAGCACAAAATACGGTTTCAGACGCTCTATGACTGAGAATATAATATGGTTCATGTGGTCATATATAGTTCGTAGGCTTGGCCTTGTCATGTAAATTCAATGGGAAAAGCTGGGCCTTGAAGAATTCCATAGGGATATAATGTGAGATGAGTTGAAAGGAATTTGTGAAATTTCACGAATTCCCCTCAACCAAC